ATGAAGAAAGAGAGGGTCACAGGTATCATTTGGATGGCATTCTTATCAACAATAAAATTGGAGCATCTGTCTGGGATTTCAAAATAGCTGCCTTTCTGTACAAACTCTGTATTCCCAACTTACCCAGTACAAACAAACATTCATATATGGTTGAAAATTGTAAAAACAATTGAATGGGTTTCGGTATCACATAAATAACTGCTTGAGATTGTGAAAAGGCTGTTATTTTGATATTAGAGTCAGACACTCAGATTTTAATTAAAGATTATAATATTTATTATAGATGACAACACGCTTCAAAGAAATCATATTAATCAGAGGAAAGTATCCACAGCTCACTACAAGAAATTATCAAATGATACTTGAATGTTACTTTATAATTTATTGACAGATAACTTTAAGTAATTAAAATTGATACACAGGGTTAAGTGTCAAGAAAGATATTTTATTTTTAATAACTATTTCTTAAAAACAATAAGAGACTAAACTGAGCATCAAAAAGGAATATAATATTTATCTCAACTATGATTTATAATGCATTAGTTAACTTTTATACTCAATAAGTTTACAAGACTAAATATACTTCTAACAAGCAATGTACTTCAGTATTTGGGTCAATAATCTTCTTCTCTATCAGTTTTTACTTTCTCACACCTATTAACATAAGAAGAGACAGTAATGGGCACTGGAAAACAGGGATTTTTCAACAAAAAAACTCTTATTGGGCCTGGTAAGGAAAAAGTGGATAAATCCAGTTTCTTAATATAGAAAAATATTCCTCTAACACGTGGTGTAGTCAGAATTCATGTTTTGTGGTTCCTTGATACAGAAAAATCGATTGAATTAATTTCATTTTCTTAATTTTTCGGCTTCCTATAGTAGAATGGAAATATAATTTTAAGAATATTAATGAACAATAGAACTTCAACCTAGATGGCTGGTTCAAGACTGGCTCGGGGATAATTATTTGTCACAACTCCCTGTTATCGCAGAAAACTAGAGAATTTCAGGAACTTTGTTAAAAATGATTTGAAGCAATTCTACTCACATAAACAAGTTATTAAAATAAACTGGATGTGTCTGTATGTCATTTTCGTATTTTGAAATTTTAAATAAGTTTACAAATCTCTTGTTCTCATTCTGAAAGGTATGTCACATCAAATCAATTGTTCAATATAAAATGTAAATCAATATAATATTGCATAGTATTTAGAAACATTATGAGAAAGTATGTGCTTTGCAGCACCACTAGTTTCATCATTCAATAATGTCCAGTTCCAAAGCGGAGTAGGAATTCTGGTTCTGAAAATCAAGTCTATTATACTTCTCCACCACATGTCACATACTGTTCTTACTGTCTTTTTGATTAAAAATAAATCAAATGAAACACTTCCATTGATTGAATTGCATTTCATTTTCTCTTTAACTTAACTTAATTTAACTTAAACTTAAATTAAATTGTTATTATGAAATGAATCTGAATCATCTGAAATCAGAACTGCTCTTTCATTTCTAATGGCAGAGAACATACAGATTATGTTTTGAAGAAAAACAACAGGTACCAAAATTGAACCCATCTCAGAGTGCATCTCAGAGATGAAGGCTGCTTTTCTTCATATTTCTGGATAAGATCTTCATTTAACAATGAGATTGTCACGAGAGAGAGTCATGAATTGAAAATGGATGGTCTATCAAAATACATACAAGCAGTATCCGATCAAAAATGTTTAGCCACTCTCTTTCTTGTCAAACTTGTCCTGGTTATCTGGCCCTCCAACCAGGTGAATGTATTGAGCTGTTTCACACTCCCAAAAATTTCAAGGGAAATTTGTATGTAAAAATGATTTCTGTGTACATTGATCTTTGAATTAAAAATAAAATAATTGTTTTCTTCCATTATATTTAGTAGTTACTTTCCAAAATAGTGCAATGAACTACTAAAGTATGTCAATTTGGATTGTGACTTCCAAAATTAAAGAAAATACATTTTAATTTTTTGCATTAGTTATTCAAATATTTAGTTCATTGTAAATTTATAGCAAAAATAATAAAGAACAAGTTCAATACTACTTAAAATACAATGCCAAATGAATCAAATGTTATAGACTCCTTGTGACACTGCAAAACAATGACTGAGCTGGCATTGAAGTCAATACCCTGCGAGTCATTTTCTTAGGTCATCTCAAAAATGCCCTCTTCATGCAGGATAGCACATTGCCTGCAGGCAGATGGTTGAGAAATTATTTCAAGTTGTCATCACAGACATGCTGAATGAGTGCAAAGAGTTAAGTAATCAATTTAGATAATTATTAAAAATTAAAAAATCATAAAAAATATCCAATTAATAATTTTTTTTATTTGACATCAACTTGATCTCAGCCAATTTTCATCAGATTTAACAAGAAATTCATAAAGATAGAGAATTATTAATGAATGCGTGCCACTTTTCATTCTTTGCCTAATAATTCAAAAACTAATGGGTCTAAATATTCAAAAAATCACAAATACACCTTTAAATATAAATAAATTCTGTATGTTCATTTTACTCTTAATAGTCAATTCTGAATTATATAAAGAGATGAAAACCCGAAAATTTGAATATACTCTTTTTTGAATCAACTTCATCAACAGATCATATTCATGTATTCAAATCAAATCATTACCTACAGAGGAAAACCAGTATAATAGGATCCTGAAAACCCTTTAAGAAAAGCTTTAACTACATGAATCAAACAATTTCATATCTTCTGTCAATTTACTAAAATATTTTGAATGTAAAATAGCATTTAAATTCTTTCATACAAAACATACCACTGTAATTGATCAAATAATAACAGGAATGGAATTATGTGTGTATGCGCATGTGTGCATGTGTATACTTGTGTGTGAGTACAAGTGTGAAAATTCATGATAACTGTTTAAAGTTATTCCCATGTGAGCATTTTCAAATTTCTCAAAAACAAAATGACACCAATCAGACTTTAAATAAATTTGGAGTGGCTGAATGAATACAAACAGTTTACAAAAGTAGATGGACAGAAGTCATCACCAAACATGTTTTTATGAAATAGAAAATATATGTGTGAAAAGTGCAATGTTGTTTACACAAAGCATGTGAACAGTATAGCCATGATCTGGGAGGGCATTGATGAAGGGGACCATGCCTCTTTCCTAAATCCAACACTGTTTAATTTGCCTCTGCAGCATCATAATAAGATGGACCTAGGGTTTGAGAAATGAAATACATGGCACTTTTTTGACACAACAAAAATTGCTGGGTCAAATGCAATGATTGTTTGGAGGGGAATTCTAGAGATGGTTGCACTGATCAGTAGCTTTTGTGGCTGCTCCTATCTATATAAGGCAAATGCCAAAGCAGTACTACTCTCACAAATGCTATATGCAATCGTTTCTTTCTCATCATTGTCCCTTCCTCTTCCCTTATACACATATTTACTTACATTCACTTCACTACCACGTTAGAAGACTTAGAGCTAAGAGTTTGTCCTGAGAGAGGTTCTCCACTAGAGGGGATACCTCAAGGAGAATAAACCCACAAGCCGACCTGTTCATCATTGCCAAATCTCACATTCCAATAGATGTATACCGCCATTTCCTGCGATATAGCGTGCAAAACAAGTGTCACATACATATATTAATTGCATCATGTTTCAAACTAGTATTCAGAATGAACCCCAGTGGGTGGAATTTCATGAATAAGTTCTGAATTTTGTGTCTCTGGCACAGGGATGTATATTTCTCAGTCGAGTGCCAGAAGTGCGGTTAGACAATTGCATGTAAGGAAAGGTTCTCATACTTTATTCGAGTTTTTCAGGCTGCTCTATGAAACATGAACAAGCATATTGTTCAGATTACTTCTACTTCTGCTTTGTAAATCATCCTTAGTTCTGAGAACGCAATTTCCAAGAAGCTAGGGGTATGTTTGAGAATTCACAGTGAAGGACTGAAGATCATAGAAATGCAGTATTACTTCACTTTGTTTCACAGAAAGACAATTTCAAAAAAATGTATTTGCAAACTTCTATGTAAATATATTAAAATATAACAAAATATAACAATAATACATAAAATATAACAATAACACATATAATTCGAAAATAAAAATGATTTTAATTTATTCAGAATGTCATGCAAACATAAAAAATTTATTGATCGCATGTATCTTCTAACTGTAAAAATATGTACTTACATACAAAACTGTTCCCTAGTAATAACTAATCAATGCCTTTATGAGAGAGTGGTATTGCTAAGTTGTAGTTACAACTTTTCTCGTGATACAGTGGTTTTATCCTGAGCAGGACAAATTATCAAAATATGAAAACGATACTTAAAATTATTCTAACTTTTCATTATGTTCAACAAATATCATCATGATCATCATTATTAAGAAGAACATTGGGAGAAACAAACCATGTCTTTAGAATTATTTTCATTGAAGAGAGGGGACTAGTACAGATTTGAACTGGCAACTGAAAATTGTTCAAAATCCATTTTCTATTATAATTTTTTATTTTTATAGTTCATAACAACAAATATTCCTTTATTCCTTCCTGACATAAAATGTTTATGGGGTGTAAATTGTACTTTAAAAATGTGCTTAAAGACCAATAATTTTATATCATCATTATTTAACCTAATATATAAATAGGTAAAATGTAATATTTTTCAATTTGGTAGGAGGGTATCAAATTATATATTTATATTTTATACATTCTTCAAAGAACTTAAGATCTTTGTGCACCTTAAAAAAGTCAAGAAACATGCTTTAGTGCACATGTGCGTGTGTACTTGTTCAAATGTTTTACATTTCAATTCAAATGTAGGAATAAAAAGTAATTTAATTCACTCAAGTGTGTTTCCACGACTAGAGAAGAGATGACACAGAATAGAAAAAAATTTCCTGATAATTCATATTTGTAATGTAAATTTTCAAAGTATTAACTTAAAGACGAGAAATAAATTCTTTGAAATAGTTTTACCTCTAATCCGGCCATGTCTTCTGCCATGAACATGTACATCATGTTCATTCTTAACAATATCCACTACATCACTGAATCTATCATGGTGTTGAAGGTGCGGGGGAACATGATGATGAGGGTGTCGATGAGGTGATGGACTCCGCCTTGGTGGGACTGGGGAATGCACTCTCCTATAACCATAAAATCATGAGTTAATATTCCCAAAATAAAACGGATTCATGGGATCATCACGTGGTTTTTATTGCGGTTCATAAAATTCTAAAAAGAATCTTGCATGAACTTAGACATTTAGAAACCAATGAATAAATAGGAATTCTTTGAAATTATTTTCAATAAATCATGAACATAATATATTTGTTCAAATGTCTCACCTTGGACCCGGTGAAATTTGTCGAGGGTAATCTGAAGGATGCAATCGATCAGGAAGGGAATCCAGTGATGGATGACGTGATGTGCCATCTTGTGGTTCCACAATCTGCACAGATGTTTTCATAATTTAATAAGTTAAAGAATATTGTAATGATAAATGTTAAGATGACAGACATGCTTATGAGTAATTTTATGATCTGAGAAATCTTCCCTTATGCTTGGTTTTGGATTTTTTTTTGCTACAAATGCACAGAGAGCTATCAATTTTACAAAAATTCATACTAATTTATACATTAAAAAAGTGTTTCATGACCATGATATTAAAATAGTCATTGGAAGATGGTAAAAATTCAGTACATGTACAATACTCATGAAAAGAGGAACTGTATTGTTATATGAGGGTAATGAGTCAATGTAGCTATATTCTGGGTAGCTAATTTTCATTCAATCAAAAGAACATAAAACCAAGAATATCTTAATACCTGTGTTAATAAAATATGATCAAATTACAATTTCAAAAAATTAATCACGTTCTCAGGAAATATATAAAAAGGGGTTGAAAATTAAAGTAAGGAGGATTAATATCTTAATATATAATTTTGAAATTGAGAAGTTTACGTATTTTCTGTGCAAATTTTAGTTACCATTTATTGAAGATCCTGAAAACTAATCATACCACTCACAATGCATAAAATGAGAACAGAAAACATTTTGATAACTTCTCTGTATTTCCTACCTTCCATGTGCAGTCATGCCACACTACTGTTAACTCTATAATGTGCGAATTAACTATTTTACAATGGAAAGTGAAACATGCACCTAAAATTATATCATGCTTTACCAACACATGCAAAACATTTTTTGATGCCATTCAAATTTGATCACCATATAAACATTAAAATATACACTTTTTACCATATACAGCGATGCACAGAAATGAACTGTTGAAATTGTAACTTCCAGATGTGCTGCATATATAATGTATGAATATATAGATTGAAATACTTATAAAATTCATAACAGTATGTGACTTGATTGTAGAATGGCATGATCCAAATCTGCTCTCCTATGAACCCGCATTCTAAAATTATTCATAGTAAGAATTCTATTTTATCTTCTGATATTAAGAATGAGAGAAAGCTGATTTGGATACACTGAATTATTTGGTTTATAATAAATTTGACACATGTAATGAGTACACAGAAAACAGAAGCCATTTTACTAATTATTATTATTATTATTATTATGAATTAGATATAACTTACTGACACAGCTTCATAAATTACCTTCATTTGTGATATTTAAACAAAGCATAAAATAAACAAAATACTATATAAGTAAATCCCAAACTTCAGACTTATAATAAATATTTTGCTATTTCACAACTACATTAATTATTGGCTTAGAAGAAAAAATGTATTGCACTTTATGAGATTTTAACACAAACTTACAAATACTGATTTGTTCATATTATATACCAAAGCAAGTCAAGTAAAGATGAAACATATTTTCTGTACCTTCCTAAAATTGCCTAACAAATTCTAATATTCATGAAGTTATTCTCACAAAATAATATCATTTAAAGTTTGAATTTTACTTCAATTAGAAGTACATATTTACAATAGGCAACACAATGGACAAGAAAAGGCAAAGAAATTTAAAGCCCAATACCATTAAGTTATCTTAATAAGAAATAATAATGTGCTTTACAATTTATTTTATATCTTGTCTGCCTACAACATGCTTTATTATAATTTTGCTACAAAACAACAAATCAAGATATTTTTAATGTATTTATAACTATTTAAAATACATTACTGAAAATGTTTTCTTATCTTCTACTGATGAATGAATAGAATGTTCACCAGAGGTTCTCAAACCTTTTAATGTTTGCTCCCTTCTAACTCAATACTAAAAGTTTCAGAACCCCTCATGATGAAATTTTCCAAAAGGCAAGGTTTATGCTTTTTCCATAACAATTATTATTACTTTTGTATTCATTAAAAGTACTATTTTTAATAAATAATTTGCCTGCTTGGTGATATTAAAATTTCTTCTATATTCAGAGTATTTCAGACTTTTCAGTTAAGCGGTTCATTTCTTCTTCATATCCTTCAGTACATAGTTCTTCAGGTACTCTGTACAAGATTGGTTTGCATGTACAATGGTTGAGAACCTCTAATGAAGACTACGTCTTTTTGTATTAGTATTCTATTACCTCAGTCATATACATACATATGTATGTACATGAACTCTCAATGTGGGTAAAATGGTATTAAAAAAGAAAGAGATTAATACAAGATTTTTTACCCACAACGTACCAAACAAAACAGTGTCAACTTCTTCATTTGAGAATTTCCTAGACAAGAAAATACACAAAATAGAAGAAAAAAAGAAAACAAAAGAAAAAAAAAGAAAACAAAAGAAAAAAAAAGAAAACAAAAGAAAAAAAAGAAAAAAAGAAGAAGAAGAAGAAAAAACAGGAGGATGACAATTGAAAGGAGGTGAAGAATTTAAGAAGAGCTAATGGAATAATATTCTTAGAACTTCTTTTTAAAATGTACATTTCAGAAAAAATTTAATTCATGGAATAAATCTTCTCCTTGGTTCCAATTCTTTTGAAAAGTTAGCAGTAAGAAATAAAATGAAGATAGTTTTAAAAAAAATTATTATTAAATAAAACAAACTTAAGAAGAACTACATTTTAAAAATTAAATGCAATTTTAACACTTGACACGCACTGGTGGAATGTAGAACAGAAATTGAATAAGAACATTACCTATAATTTCTCAAATTTTATAACTGAGAAGAAGACTAAATTATTACTGAGCATATAGCAGAGTGGATTGATTCACATAGGATTGCACTATTAAATATCAGGAATAAATAATTTCCGGTAATAGGGATTCTCAAGATGAGAAAAGGTCAACAAATAACATCTCTCTTCTGGTGGCAATCAATGATAATATTACAAAGGTAAAATAAGATAAAAATGAGAGTAAGTTCAGGGGCTAGTAAATGAAAAAATTGCGATGTTGTGTGCCCACTACTATGACTAATCTAGACACACTCATCCGGCATTATGAACCCACTAGTATGAGAAAGTTACCAGTTGTCAGAAAACTAAAAAGAAAAGGACACCCTCCAATGGTATTAGTGGAATAAGTTTCCGTATGGAAGGATACTCTGCCTTTGGTGGGTCCTTTAGACTAGCATTCTTCTGAGTGAGGAATGATGTTTACTTGTTCTTGAGGTGAGAAATCTTCTCTCATGGCAGAGAAATCAGCAGTCATTTGCTCATAGGTTGAAAATCGGGAAGGAAAGATGAAAATCACTTGATTAATCTTTTAGTTACGAATGGGAGGCAGGTTTCAGCTCAGTGGAATGATTGGGATATTTTTTTGCCTGGATCCCAGAGACATTTAACAGCTCTTATCTCTAGCTTACCAAGGATGACAAGCTCAGTTGTGGCAATTCCCATACACTGAAGCCTCAACCTATAGGTCTCATGGTGCCATATGAGTGATCATTGGTTGCTATGACATTTCACACAATTACAATGTGCTGTGGCTTCTGAAGCTTGCTCACTTATATTTGCCTGGAAACAGTGCCCTAACAGAGAGGTAGAAAAAAAAAAGAAGAAGGAATCTAAAAAAGACGAATAAGAAAAAAAGGAGCAAGCATCAGACATTGCCTTGAAACCCCATCGACTTTCTTCAGATTCAAAAAGTTTGTATGTAAGCAAGCACAGAGAAAGTGGCTGAATCTTGTTCTTATTAAATTACTTCTTCTAATAAGTTGTGTAGTCAGAACCCATTCTGTGGGTTTTTGAAACTGAAAAATTTATGGTACAATGTCTGCCCGTCCGTCCATCCATCCATCTGATAACAATGCTAAATAGAAGGCAGAAAGAATTTTCACTGAAATGTCTCCAATTGATCTTGATGACGTTGCACCCCCTTGAATTCAAAACCTATGTTTCATATTTTTGGGTATTCATTATTTAAAGTACCTATAAGACACTGGCCTTTATTTACACATGAAAAGAAGAAACGACCCCTCATTGATTAAATTTGCACTATGGTCGCACATCTCTGGAAAATACTCTTCTAGTAATAAAAAGAGAAAGAATATCCTAATATAGGCTAGATGACAAAGATGTTATTGACACAAATTGTTCATAATTTCTTATATAAAGGCAGGATAACATTTTGCTGTTTTCATGTATTTATTATCTTCTTCCCAAAGGTCTTCTGAATGTAAAATGATAAGGTCTTACAAGAGTAAGAATATTATCATCATTTAATAATTTCCTAAATTTATTTTGTTCTGTGGATTATTATCTTTGAATAAAACACACACACATATATGTATATATACATATAAGGTATAATCTCAACAAATTAGTAAATGACCACCAGTCTCATAATCATAGTTTTCCAAACCATTTAACTGAACATATCTAGAGAATATTATTTTAAATCTATAGTTTTATGAAAAGTGAATTTGTAGGGAATATTTTATTGCATATTTTTGTTAAAATAATTTCTCCCAAAATGGATAATAGTATAGTGAAATAAAGACATTTTATATTCGATTTAAAGAAGTAATAGTTTTAAATGCAGAGAAGGATCCTTTCCAAACTAGAAACATAACAATTTCTTCCTCCCCAGTTTCATAAATTGTCAACCAACGGTTGTTTAAAACTAAAATACTTTCATTGAAATTCAGAAAGTAGATATTTAAATTTAAGAAATATTTGCACAAATTTTAAATGAGAAATGAGTAGTAGTATGGACTTTCATATATGATTCTGTCAATAAAAATAAAAAAATTTAAAGTTTTTAAAAGAATACAGCATTAAACAAACAAGGATCATTATGGTGGGTTTAGATGCCCTGTTTTTCCCAAATTCAGTAGTTTCTATTATAATTTCTGAGATAACAAAAAAGTATTACATTCTTGAAAATAGCTAGTTTTCATGTTTATGTAGCAAACACATCACAAATTTTACCAACAAATTGAACAAAAATTAGTTTTCTCTTAAAATGCCAATAGAAAATGCATATAAATAGCCTAATAAAAATGAGTGCAAGCAACAATGTA